GAGCCTTCCGGAACACGCTGCAGGAGGAGGAGGAAGATCAGGAGGAGAGAGAGTTGGAGTGGGAGGAGGAGGAGGGGGACGAGGAGGAGGAAGAGGCCTCCAAGACAGCTCCAAGATAGCCGAAGAGGCTTCCAAGAGGGCCCTGGGCGGCCCACGAGGGCCCCAAGGCGGTGCCTGAGGCGCCCAAGACGGCCCGAGAGGGCCCCAAGACGGCCCCAAGAGAGGCCCAAGAAGGGAAACACGAACCGAGAATCCGAGCTTTCTACCCCGAGAGGTTCTGGGGAAGTCCCAAGAGGCCTCCAATCCCCAAGAAGCTCCCAAGAGGGGCCACGAGGTTCCAAGAGATCTCCCAAGGTGGCCCGTAGAGGCGCAACTCATTGTTTTACGATTGGGCTTTGACGGGTTTTAATTTTGTTTGGCCTTTTGGCATCCCGATGCTCCAAGACGGCCCAAGAGGCTTCCAATACCGCTCCAATATAAAGGAAGAGGCCTCCAAGAGGGCCCCAAGACGGCCCGCGAGGGCCCCAAGACGGTGCTTGAGGCGCCCAAGACGGCCCGCGAGGGCCCCAAGAGCCCCAAGAGAGGCCCAAGAAGGGGAACGCGACCCAACAGCAGAGCGTTCCCCCAAAAAGGCCCACAGGAGGCCGCAAGAGGCTCCCAAGTGGTCCGACGAGGAAGAGGTGCCTCCAACAGCCAGTTGACGAAGCATGCGGAACACCCCAGAAGCTCCTCAGATGCCGTCGCGCGCCTGTGCTTGATAGCGTTGTCCAAGATCGTCCAGTGCCTCCCCCCGCCTGGGCTAGAACATGAGCGCGCGCGAAGCAAGCGCGATGGTTCTCTCTCTCTCTCTCTACATATATATATACACATACATATATATATGTATGTATGTATGTATGTATGTATATATGTATGTATGTTTGTATGTATGTATGTATGTATGTATGTATGTGTGTGTATGTATGTATGTATGTATGTATGTATGTATGTATGTGCATGCACGTGACGTATCCCCTTGTCGCTTCAGGAAAAGCGCTCAGAAGAACTGTTTGTGCCAGCGGTGAAGGTTGAGAGAGGCTTATCCCATTGCCACTACAGCGTTCTCTCCGTAGCCCCCTGTTTTTGTGCTCAAAGGTGCCCTCCGGGGCATGGGCGAGATCGTGCCTGCAGACCGGCCCGAGCGCGCCCTCTATCCCGTGTGGGTCATCCTCGCCGCCGAGGCGGGCCAGCTGGCGCGTGGGCTGCTGGCTGACCGGTGGTCACCTGAGCCCGAGGCGGCTGAGGGAGGCCACGAGCAGGAGGCGTTCGTCTGCCAAGAGGTCACGTGCGCGCCGTGCCACGTAGCCCCGCCGTGCCCAGATGTGCCCGACCCGCGGTCGTGTGTGGGGGCAGGGGCAAGCGCGGTGCTCGTCGGCCAGCTGCTCTGGTGGTCCGTGAGGGCCCTGTGCGGGCGGGGCCGCCGCAGCCATGGCACTGCTCCGGCGCGACGCGGAGGCGGCGTGGCTGCGTGATCTGGTGCCGGGCGGTCTCATCGTGACGACGTTCACGGATGACGAGGTCGTCCACGAGAAGGTGCTGCTGTGGCCCGTTGACAGGAAGAAGTGGTGCATCGCGTCGCCAGGTGGAGACGTCTACATCGAGCCTGTCTTGAAAGACGAGGACTGGGGGGTGGCAGACACCATCCCGCTCGACGACGTCGGCACAGTGCCAGCTACCTTCCCGATGAAGGTCTACCGCTTCCGCGAGTACCCGGACGCCGACGGGCTGAGTGAGCTGCTCCGGGACGGCCGAGCGGTGGTGCGCGCCGAGCTCGGGCGCGGGGCCCCCGAGGTGACGACGGTGCTGACCCCCACGTGCGAGCGGGTGCCGCTGGAGGACTTCGCGCCAGGCCTGCTGGTAACGCGCCGGACGCCGGGGAAGGTTTCCCCCAAGGCAGCCGCTGCCGCCTCGGCGAGGCGGCCCGCCGGGCCCGCGGCCGGCCCGGCGGGGAGCGACGGCCGCCCCCCGCCGGCGGCGCCACTTGCTGCGGCGTCAGACCAGCTGACGGCCGCGGCCGCCGCGGATGTGGACGAGGGCTACATCTGGGTGCTGGCGGAGCCCACCGGCCGACGCACGATCGGCACGGAGATCGACGGCGGCGCGAAGGTGTTGCGGACGCCCGGCGGCCTCGACGGCCTCGCGAAGCTGGACGACCGCTGGCGGCGCATCGAGGGGATGGCTCCCGAGGCGGCCCCGGGCTACACGAAGCACCGCTACGACGAGCTGAAGGACAGCCTTGGGATCGCCAGGGAGGAGCCCGGCTTTCACGAGTCCGACTTTCGCGACCGGCTGGGCAGGGCCTTGCCTGAGGCCCCGGGCGGGACTGCCACCCCCCCGCCAGCCGCCGCCGCCGAGGCGGCCGTCGAGACTGGCGATCTTCGGACCATGGTGATCGACTTCGACGGCCAGGGCGAGCGCTACAAGTCTTGGAAGCAGGTGGTCCAGGAGAGCAGTAGCGAGACCAACGAGTCGCAGCACATGGAGGGCCCTCCGATTGCGCTCCCGATGTCCAAACGTATGCTGCAGACAGGTGGGGGCCCTCGCTTATGGCTGCGCGAGTGGATGGGATTGCCGGGGCGGACCGAGTCGCACATGAGATGCGGACCCTCGTGGAGTCCCTCTGGCTCGCGGGGGCGGTGGACCAGGTCGACGTCGGCGGCCTGCTGTGCATCGAGGCGATATGCCGACGCATGGCTGGCATCGTGGCGGCCCATGCCAATCCAGCCAGGCCGGCCTGGGACCTGACCCGCTACTACACTGGCCAGCTGTCGGCCGAGGACGCGGTCGGCCCCGAGACGCGCAGCTTCGCGTCGCGGCGGGCTGCGTGGATCTCCGGCCGAGTACGGCGCCGGAGGTTCAGCTGGCGGCGGGGCCGACGGCGGAGGCGAAGGCGGGGGGGGTCGCGGCGGGGGCGGGCGCGGGCGCGGCGACAAAGGCCGCGGGACTGGCGCCCCCCCCGCTGCAGTATGAGCGGAGGGCTGGCCGAGGAGAGCCCCGACTTCGGCCGAGCTCTAGGGGCCGCCCCAGGCCGCGTTGCGGCCACTCGAGGGCCACGAGATCTCTTTCCTGCGCCCCTGCTGGACGCGCCGCCACCGCTGGCGGCCGCCTCGGCGGGGGCCGCGAGGGCGAGGCGCAGAGAGCAGCTGTAGATCGGCGTTCAGTGCACTTAATTGGCAGGCAGGGCATCGAGCGGGCGAGAGGTTCCCATGGATGATGCCCAGCGGCTTCTTCGCGAGCGAGTTCGAGGATTGGCATGGGGCCGGCGCCCGGGCCCCGCTCTTTCAGCGACGGCAGCCCTCAAGCGGGTGCTGCGCGGCCACTCGCCGTATGAGGCGGGGGTGGCCACCTCTCGTGTCGCGCCCTTCAAGCTCGACCGCATCTCCATGCCAAAGTCCGTTCGGAGCTGCCCCTATGCTGATGGGGTAGCCCCGCAGGAGGTCGCTAGATACTTGTTGGATTATCAAGAGCGCATGCTGAGGCAAGGTGACATCTTGCCCAAGATCGAGCCATACTTGGACCCCAAATTAAAGTTCCACCAGAAGGAATACCAGCGTCTAGTTCAGAAGCTGTTCGGCATCGGCATGGTCGACTGGACTGTGACTCCGAAGTGTCGGATGGGGTTGTTCTGCGTTCTCAAGAGTGATGGCAAGTCGCTCCGATTGATCGTCGATGCTCGTCGTGTGAGCGAGGTCTTTGCTGACCCACCCGGGGTCGACCTGCTGACGGCCGAGGGCATCAGCCGGGGCGAGGCGGCACTGCCGGCCGTCATGGCGCCACGGAACCCGGAGGCGGTGGAGTACCTCAGCAAGCTCAGGCTCGTGGTGGGCACGTCGGACGTGGCCACTTGCTTCCACTGCCTGAAACTGAGGCCCGAGATGTCCGCGTACTTCGGGCTGCCTGCGGCCCCGGCGCACGTCTTCGGGCTCGAGGGGACTGTGACTGGAGGCCGGCGCCTGGGTAGAACTTCGCCGGTGTATCCCGCGTGGGCTGTGCTGCCGATGGGATTCACATGGAGTCTCTGATTTGCCCAGCGTATAAACGAGCTGCAGACCTTGCGAGGCGCCTCTATTCCCCTGGGCCCCCCCCTCCATGACAGAGGGCCGCCCCTGAGGGCGCTGCAACCAGAGACGGCCGCGGGTCAGGCGCAGCACCACGTGTACGTCTACAACATCGGGATCCTGCGCACCATGCGCTACGAGGTCGGGGAGGCCATCTCGGCCTTACATCACTAGCCCAAAACATGCCCGGACCCGGGGTCAGCTGTGGTGAAAAGGGCCGCCCGCTAGAGCGTTTTCGGCCTTGCCGCCGCCTCGTCTGGGTACGGGTCGGTGCCCGAAACAACCATACATACCCGGACCTAGCTGGGGCGGTGGTTGGGCCACCCCGTCTAGGTACGGGCATGTATGGTGGTTTCGGGAGCCGACCCGGACCCAGGGGGGGTGATGCCCCGAGGGCCCCTTGCCACCCCGTCTGGGTAAGGGTACGGGTATCTTTCGCGCTCGAGATTACAGCGACACTTTGCCGATTTGGGCCTGGTGCTGCACGAGTCCGCGGTGGCCGACGAGGCGTGCAAGACGCTGGGCGTCGAGCTGCTGGGCGAGGGCCTCCGATCGCGAGTGACCTCGGAGCGGTGGTGGCTGATCCGCCGCGCCGTCGAGGCTCTTCTTCGACGCCCGAAGTGCTCGGGCTGGGCGCTGGAGGCGGTGGTCGGCCACTGTGCCTTCGCCGGTCTCGCCTACCGAGGACGCCTCTCGGTGTGGCACACGGCGCACGCTTTCATGCACAGGTAGCGCGACGGGGCTGGCTACCTCTGGGACGAGTGCCAGCAGGAACCCCGCGCGTTCAAAGGGCTCATGCTGTTCCTGGAGAGCGACTGGACGCGGCCGTGGAACCCGATGGTCTTCGAGACTGATAGCTCCGTCGAGGGGATGGGCGTCGCCAAGGCCACGTGGGACCCGGAGGATGTCTCCGCCGTGGGCCGGGTGCTGGAGCGCTCGCGCTGCAAGCGGTCCGGGGGCTGCGGGGCCTGCGAGTCTGCCCTGGAGGCCGCGGGCTTCTGGAGCGACACGTCGGGCAAGCGGCGAGTGTCCGACTCGGACGCAGGCCCGAGAACCGAGGGCGCCTGGACGTAGACTCTAGTTTTGCCGAGGTGCCTGCCAGGCTCCTCTCTTCCAGTCTAAGGCGCGCTTGCTATGTGCGTAAGTGGTTGTTCGATGAAAAGAGTCTTCTGAAGGAAGCACGGGCGGTCCTCGTGGCCGTCAAGCGTCTGGCCATCTTCCAGGGAGCCCACAATCTGAGGCAATTGGTTCTAGGTGATAATATGTCAGTCGTCATTGCTGTCAGTCGTAGTAGGTGTCACGATTTTAGGCTGCTCATTATCCGACGCATCCAGGCCTATTGCCTTTCTAGGAACATGCAACTTCTCGTCCGCTGGATCCCCTCAGAGTTCAATTTTGCGGACCTGGGTTCCAGGGTGCTCAGCGGGCCCGATTCAAGCACTCTTTTGAGCTAGACGCCAGGTTTCGCCGTTTTTTTGGGGCGGAGATGAATGACAATGAGAAGCCCTCTCCCTTCTATTTTCCTGACCGTAATGCTCCGCCCGTTCTCTCCCCCGCTTCCGCCCCATGGCGGCTCCTCCGTAAACGTCTTGGCTCATGCCGTTCTGTCTGAGGATGATCCGCCGAGGGGCCTGCGCGACCCGCGCCCGCCCCGGCCCCGGGCGAGGGGCGCGCCTGACCCGCGAGGGCGCTCATGGGGCCTGGTCTCGCGCCTGGCCCCGCGGTCCGCGCGGGGGGCAAGGCTGGGGCTGAGCCCGCCGGCTGTGCGACCATCCGCTGCAGGGCGCAAGCGGTGGCAGATAGACGTGGGCGGCTGCAACGAGGTCGACGACAGCGGCAGCACCGCGAGCGAGCAGAGCGGAGGCAAGCGCGCCGCCCCGAAGCGGGCGGCTGCGCTGAGGAAGAAGGCCCGCCAGCGGCGGTCGAAGTTCCTCTCCAAGGCGGCGACCAGGGCCATGAATGGCGGGCTCAACTTCCTCGAGGCCAGCAGCGTCACGAAGCCCGTGCGGGAGCGGTGCGAGAGGGGCGTTGTGGAGTTCATCGCCTACTGCGACCGCCCCCTGGCCATGGCGCTGAGATCGGCCGCCCAAGTGGACGAGGCGCTGCCCCAGTATTTCAACTACCAGTTTTTCCAGGGCCACGGGGCGGCCAAGGGAGAACAGGTCTTAGCTGGCCTCATGTACTCGAGGCCGGAGTTCGGCAAGTGGGGCTCCCAGAAGCTGCCCAATGCCTGGCGAGCGCTGCGAGGCTGGCGCAAGCGGGCGCCCGCTCGCAGCCGCCAGGCGTGGGCCTTGGGAGTCTGGGCCACCCTAGCGCGGCGCCTGGACGCGACCCAGGGGCTGCTGATGTGCGCGCTCCTCGTGTTGCGGAGGATGCGGAGGAGGGTGCTCATCAAGCCAACGCCCGGCGTCTCCAAGAGCTGGAGCATCCTCTTCTTCCCCAGCGATCGCATCGAGAGGTCGAAGACGGGCCTGGCGGATGTGTGCATTGCCCTCGACAGCGAGTGGGCGCAGTGCTTGACTCCGCTCTGGCCGCTGCTGGTCAAGGGCGATCCCGACGGCCTCGTGTTCACTTTCGAGTATCCGGCCTACATGCGTGCCTTCAAGAGCAGCGTGAAGGAGCTGGGCATAGAGGACAGGATCATCCCATACCAGACGCGCCACAGCGGACCCTCCATAGATGCGTCGAGGGGCTGGCGCACGGCCGACGAGGTCCAGCGTCGAGGGCAATGGAAGCAAGTCAGGTCAACGATCCGCTACGAGAAGGGGGCCAGGCTGGGAGAGAGCTGGGCCAGGCCCCACCCAAGGTTCCAAATCGCATGCGAGTTGTGCGAAAGACATCTATCGGACATCGTGCTGCGACGCCCTCGCGAAGTCAGCCCTCACTTGCCGGGCGCTGCGGGCGGGGCGAAATCCTCGTCGACTGCTTCGCGGGGAGCGGCGCCGTCAGCGCAGCGGGCCTGAGACAGGGCTGTCAGGCTAGAGGGTATGACTCTGCGAGGGGGGCTGGCGAGGACTTATGCCTTCGCCGCGTTCGCAGGCACATCCAGTGTCAAGTCCTGCGAGGCGAGGTAGCTGCAGCCAGTCTTGCGCCTCCGCGCGGGTCCTGGGGTGTAGCTGCCGTGCGCGGGGGCCACAAGATTCGCTCAAAGAATGAACCATGGGGACTGCCGTGGAACGATCTGACCCCTCGTCAACGTGAGAGATTGCGCCTTGGCAATCAGACGTTTCGTTCTGCGTTGTGGCTGTTGAGAACATTCTGTCGCTCGCGCATACCTGTTATGTTAGAACACCCGATCAATTCACGAATTTGGCATGCGCCCGAGCTGATCCGTTTGGCTCAGCAATATATCTGCCTCTTTGTTACTTTGGACCAGTGTGGGCACGGTGCTAGATGGAGGAAGCGAACCAAACTTCCTCTTTGCAATGTGTTCCCCGAGGACCTCTCAAAGCTCTCACGGGTCTTCTGAGGTTCAAAGGGTGCTGCTTCTTTTCGGGGAAACAACCTGTTATCCTAGAAGGTCTGGCCTCTCCGGGGGTAGAATGGACAGCTGTTGCTGCCGCCAACCCCAGGAAGCTTGCCGATTTCATGGCGCAGACACGTCTTGCTCCCTCTAGGCTCGCGCGTGCTAGCCACTTAGAGAAGTCGCTTTTTGAACGCCCACCCACTGCCACCCTGTGAACCATTCGGGCTCGGGGTTGTCCAGTTTGGATCGTGTCAGAGCCCTCGCTATGACGGACGATGCGCAGTAGCAGAATTGCTTACCGCCTGGAGAAAGCATGCAGAACTGTTTGTGCTTGCGCGTGAAGGTCGAGAGTGATTTATCCCCTTGTCGCTGATGGAAAAGCGCTCAGAAGAACTGTTTGTGCCAGCGCTGAAGGTTGAGAGAGGCCTATCCCATTGTCACTACAGCGTTCTCTCCCCAGCCCTCTGTTTTTGTGCTCCTACCCGCTTACAGCTTGGAGTCACTCCAGACTCGCCCAACCCATTTCAATGCAACTCTGGGGTTGTCAAGTTTGGATCGTGTCACAGCTCTCGCTATGACGGACGATGCGCAGTAGCAGAATTGTTCACCGCCTGGATAAAACATTCAGAGCTATATATATATATATATATGTCTATATATATATGTATATATATATATATTATATATATATATATATATATATATATATATATATATTATTATATATATATATCAGAGTAGGGCCCCGGGGCGGTGCCTGTCATCTCCATGGGGTGTGCACGGCGCCCCCGGGAGCGTCCGAAGCGTCCCGGAGGGCCCCTTGGACCGCCAGGAACAGTTCGAGACCGCCCAAGACGGCCCGTGAGCGCTCCAAGACGCGCATAGATAGCCTCAGGAATGGCCAGGAAGGCCCGAACACGTTCCAAGAAAGCTCCATGAGGCCCCGAAGGCATCCCAAGAGGCCTCCCAAGAGAGCCCCGACAAGCCAAAATCGTTGATGTGTATCGTCTTTTCGAGGTTTTTGGCCTTCTCGCTCTTTCGGGGTTCCGACGCTCCAAGACGGCCCACGAGTCTCCCAAAACCGCTTCAAGACGGCCGAAGAGGCCCCCAAAACCGCCCCAAGACGGCCCAAAAGACCCCCAAACTCGTCCCAAGACGGCCCAGGAGAGCCCCAAGATGGCCCAGGAGCCGCCCAAAACGGTTCCAGGAGAGCCCCGACAGGGCTTCAAGACTGCCTAAGCGAGCCCTGCGGGCCCCAAGAGGGCCCCGCGAGGCCCCAAGAGGCCCCAAAGAAACCCCCAAGAGCCTCCCCGGAGGCACCCGAGAGGCCCCCAAGATGCCAAAAAATTGCCCTGAGCGCGCCCCAAGGCGTTTCCAGGAGAGCCCCACAGGCCTCCGAGAGGCCCCCAAGAGGCCCACTGGAGACCCTCAGGAGGTCGTCCCTATCATGTTCCCGGAAGGCGGTCGGGGGCGGCCCGGGGCGGTGCCTGTAATCTCCATGGGGGGTGCAGGGCGCCCCCGGGAGCGTCCGAAGCGTCCCGGAGGGCCCCTTGGACCGCCAGGAACAGTTTGAGACTGCCGAAGACGGCCCGCGAGCGCTCCAAGACGCGCATAGATAGCCTCAGGAATGGCCAGGAAGGCCCGAAGACGTTCCAAAAGAGCTCCATAAGGCCCCGAAGGCATCCCAAGAGGCCTCCCAAGAGAGCCCCGACAAGCCAAAATCGTTGGTTTTTATTTTTTTCGGGGTTTTTGGCCTTCTCGCTTTTTCGGGGTTCCGACGCTCCAAGACCGCGCACGAGTCTCCCAAAACCACTAAAAGACGGCAGAAGAGGCCCCCAAGACCGCCCCAAGACGGCCCAAGAGACTCCCAAAATCGCCCCAAGACGGGCCAAGAGAGCCCCAAGATGGCCCAGGAGCCGCCCCAGACGGTTCCAGGAGAGCCCCGACAGGGCTTCAAGACTGCCTGAGCGAGCCCAGCGGTCCCCAAGAAGGCCCCGCGAGGCCCCAAGAGGCCCCAAACAGGCCCCCAAGAGCCTCCCCGGAGGCTCCCAGAGGCCCCCATGATGGCAAAAAATGGCCCTGAGCGCGCCCCGAGCACCTCCAGGAGAGCCCAACAGGCCTCCGAGAGGCCCCCAAGAGGCCCAAGAGGCCCACTGGACGCCTTCAGAAGTCGTCGCCATCATGTTCCCGGAAGGCGGTCCGGGAACATGATGAGGGTGGCGCTTCAGGGCCATTCATGACGTGACGCCCTTTCCAGTCACGAGCAGGAGGAGAAGGCGCAAGTAGTATAGCTCTCCAGCATTCGGCTTCACGTCCGCTGGCCCCGCGCGAGTGGTTGGGGTTGAGGGGCGCACAGCGTAACGGCGTGCTTGTGTACATCGACGGCGCGCGGAGGAGGAGTCACTGAGAGCCACGACAAGCCACTAGGTGCCACAAAGCAGGACCTGGATAGGAGAAGATCTGATCACCGCAGAGTACACACAACATCCGACGAGCGGGCCTGCGACCCATAGCACACAAGCGTCATGGAGTCCGCCAATTGCCCGCCGACGGTGCCTCAAACGTGTACTAGAACCTAAGCGCGCGCGTAGCGCGCGTGGTTCTATAGTATATATATATGTGTATATATATATATGTGTGTGTGTACGCCCCTGGGCCCCGACCCCCACCGCCGGGACATCTCCAGCCAATCCCCGGTACCGCCCAACAGGCTTGTCGTCGAAGCCCCAGGGGGCTAGGGGAAGAAAGATGGGTGCCTTCAATAGTGGGAGTCATAGCAGGGGTCCACGAACGTGGCGGCATCAGGACCGGCACGTTTGTTTATGTTGTTATTGTTGGGGGGTTCACAATCTGACGCCTCTGAGGAATTGTGATCCACGTCGCGTACATAAAAGGCATATAGTCTTGACAACAACTCGTGATCTGAGGAGAGTCGTTCTCTGTCGTCACAGTCTGTCTCTTCCTCAGCACCTGGTTCACAAAACATGCAGCGACTGAAAAAAACATCTACTCTGCAAGTCCTTGACACATACGTGGCAGGTAGGTCATTTTATAGCTGGGTTCGAAGGCCCCGCCTTGAGGCTTGCCAAAGGGGGTCTGATGCGTGCCCTTTGGGTGCGCACAACGGCCGTGGGACTTCTGAGAGAGCCCTGGGAATCGGATGCCCAAGAGCCTCGTGGGAGTCTTGCTGAATGTAGTGGGGTCCTGGTCTTGGTGGTTGCACTGATCGACACCACGGTTGTCACAGGTGGGGCCGCCATAAGAGCTTGGATGCGGTCCCCTTGGAAGCTCGAGGGGGCCTGTGGTTGCCATACTGCTGGTTGCCCGAGGTACTACCAGTAAAATGACAGCCGAGTCAGTACATCAGTGACCACAGGAGCTGATTCCCTATATCCAACTGTACTGATTGTCGTGGCGAAGCTCAGGGAAACCCTCAGAACCATTCGCGGGTGCGGAGCGAGGGTGGCCATCTCGTGCTATCTGGTAGCACATCAGGTTTCGCAGGGGGGGCCCTCCCTGTGTCCCACACGCGCCGTACAAGGACATGTGAGGCCCAGGCTTGTATAGTATCCTGGTTGTGTATTCTCTGCGGAAGAGGGAGGAAGAGGAGGAGGGAGGCGGAAAAATTGGAGACCAGAGCGCCCTATTCAAAACGACGAGCCAAAGCAGGAGGGTTGATAATAGTACTACCAGCACTGGTGTTTCACCCTTTTGCTTCCTCTTGCTCCTCGAGCCGACAGTCGGCGCCGCGTATTGACGGTGCACGCGGGCTCAGAGGAGCCCTCGGTCTGGGTCAGGGGCTGCGGCCTGCAGGCCAGAGGGAGCTTAGTTTGCGACGGCATGCTCTTGGCGTGTCGGGGCAGCTTCGCTTGGAAGGGGCATATCTGATTTGCTCGTTGTATGGA